AAACGTTAAAAAAAAAATTTTTTTTTAAATAAATAAATAAAAATAAAAAAATAAAAAACCCAAATGGAGAAACAGGACCAGGAAGGGGGTGGTGGTTGCTCCAAATCAAACAGTTTAGTGGGACCAAACCTTAGCGCAGGTGGTCTGAATGCCTGGCTCTTCCCCTGCATTATCAGAGCACTCCGGAGCCAGGTCCCTTGTTCCCTCAGGCTTGAGTGTAGCCGAGGCGGGGGCCACGATGTGAGTAGTGTGGCCACACGGGTTATTCTCTTTGGGGAGAAGAATCAAGAAATGAAAACAAAACAACATCTTTCTTCACTCAGACAAATACCGAGGTGCCCCAGGATGGGCTGGAAGACGTGGGAATTGGGCCGGTGGGGGGGGGGGGCGTGGATTGTCAGGCGTTTCGGGCCATCTCCACCAGCCGGTCTCCAGTGTGGGGCTCTTCCCAAACCAGAGTCGTGTAGATTTATTAACACTTGAGAAATAGAATGTCTTAGAACCAGATGAATGACTCAAACATAGTTACTGTGGGAAGCAAGACCCCCATTTAAAAAAAAAAAAATCCAAAAAGAAATTCTTTTATTTTGAACTGGTTTTAGGTTTATAGAAAAGTTAAGAAATAGTGCAGAGAGTTACCATATCTCCCTTCCTTGACTCCTCTCATAAACATCTTTCATAACCATGCTGCAGTCCTCAGAACCCGGGAATGGCCGTGGGTGCGTTCCTGTTAACCAAGGACTTTTCTCGATTTTCACCGGTTTTTCACCACTGTTTCCATTCTGTCCCAGGATCCTGGGGGACCCCACTTCGCATCCAGTTTTGTTTTCTTCTTCCTTTCCTCCCTTCAGTAGGAGTTCCTCCTTTATCTCCCATAACCTTGACACTTTTAAAGAGTTACTTTGTCGAATGTCCCTTAATTTGGGCTTGTCGGTTTCTCATGCTTGAGGTTATGCACTTTTGGCAGGAACCACAAAAATGGTGTTCTGTCCCTTTCAGAGCACCATTTCTGGGGTTCCTGGTGTTGATTGGCCCTATTACTGGTGATACTGGTCTTGAGTACTTGTTAGAGCAGTTGCTGCCAGATTTCCCCTCTTCAGGTACCATAGAGCTCTTATTCTGACAAAGTGAGTGAGCTCAGAATTCTTTTAGGATTGTCTTCAGAGTCTGAATTGCCCAGGAAAACATTTTTTTTTTTTTTTTTGACAATTTATGCTTCCTTCTTGATCGCTTGTAAAAAGCGGAGGCTCACCCCAGCAGTGACGTGACCCATCAGTGTTCTGTCCCATCACTGCTCTGGCCCTGCCAGCCGATGCTCCCCCCACTCGATGCCTGGCTTGGAGTTTTACGTCCCCGCTTGATTTTTGTGGCGGTGGTGGGGCTGGCTCTGGGCTTCACATCCTCAGCAGTCAGATTCTGTAGGTTAGTTTGGGTCTAAGAGTGCTGAAATTCAGATTTCTTTGATTCTCTTTCCAGACATCAGGATCTTTTTAATTAAAAGAAAACCCAGAAATCCTCACTCACACAGAAGCAGCCATGCAGGGTGAAGCTGCGAAGTGGCCCCGGCAACACCAGCGAATTCCTATCTTGGTCTTTCTCTGGCTCTTGTTCCTGCTAAATCGGCTCCTACGTTAAGCTTTGTTCTCTCCTCTCCCCTAGTGCCTCCCTCCCCATCGGTCCTGCCAGCAACCCTGGGAGCGTCCCTGCCGCTGTGCCTGTGCAGATGCCGAAGCCCAGCCGGGTCCAGCAAGCCCTCGCAGGTAGGCACCCTGCTGGGTTCCGGGTTCCAGAACAGACCACCCGGCAGGGGGCAGGATGCGGAGGTGGTGGGAGAATGCGTGGTTGAGGGAGGAGATGGTGGGGTGGGGGTGCTGTTACCTTGTTTCTTCTCACGGAAAGCCGCAGCCACTCCCTAGGGGGCGGTGCCTCTTGGGTGATGGGTGACAGTGTACGTACCCTCAGCGTACCCTCAGCGAGTGGGCCTGGGGCCGCCCCTCCTTTGTCTCTCCAGGGGAGTCCTGCTTGATATCAGTGGGAACGATGGTGTGGACCTTTCCACCTTTTACATGTTCACGTCACTTCAATTATGGTTTGAGTCACTGCTCTGTCCTGAGATGCTTTAGGCATTTCCCGAAAGGGGCCCTTCGGGGGAACTTGCAGCTATTTTGGTTGCAGTTACGTTTTGCATTAAGTGGCTTTGTGTCCAACTGGATCATTTGTTAACCATATATCTTTGAACTGTTTTTTAGATTCTTTTTATAGTTTAGGGAGCTACTGAAAGTTACTTTTTAACTAATGGGAAATGCAATGTGTTATGGAAAGCTAGAGGGGAGGAGTGTCGTGAGGTTGAAGCAGGGGAATAAGATAACCCGAGTCTGTGTGTTAGGGTGAGTCACCGTAGTAGACAGCGGGAGTTCGAGGGGACAGGCCCGGGGCAGGGAGACCCGTGTGGAGCCCGACACGATGGCTCAGGGGAGCCGTGGCAGTCGTGGAGGTAAGAGCGTCTGACTTGGTGACTGGGTGCGCCGTGAGAGAGAAGGAATAGAAGGAGGCCCGGTGTGAGGCTGCCGATGTGGTGCTATAACACGTCGTGATCGTTCTTGAGGATCGTGTAGGGGCTTTGCATGTGTCTTCCTTCACTTCTTCCCAGTAACAGCTCTGTGAGGTATGAACTTTTATTCCTATTTCATACTTGGGGAAATAGCCTCAGAGAATTCCAGACACTTCCCAAGATGAGCCAGTCAGCCCTTGGTAGAGCTGGGACTCAGCCTCAGGCATTCTAGGCCTCAGCACCTGGGTTCTTAGCCATTTCACTGTGCCGATCCGGAGTCTGGTGGGAGCGCGGGGAGAGGTGGGGGGTGCTGGCTGTGGTTGTGGCCCGGCGCATCTGTCCTGGGGGCAGTGGGAGTTTGGGTGTGCAGTTCAGAAGAACATTCTGGGGTGGAATGGGGTGGCCTCTGCCCCCGCGGGGGGATCGTATGAGCTCACAGAGACTGTAAGTGGGATTCTGGGAAGAGCCCTTGAAGGAAATGGAGGGACCAATCAGAAAAGTGGTAGAAGACAGGAGAGGGGGCCCCTCTGGAATCTGCTTCAGCTGCTCAGCCATCAGCCTTCTGCGGGGGCAAAGAGAACAGTGAGCAAAGATGTGGTGACTGGAAAGTTCCTCCTGAGTTTAGGTCCTCTTGTGGCATCAGATGCCATAGGTGAGTCAGACCTCTGTGTGTGTGTGTGTGTGTGTGTGTGTGTGTGTGTGTGTGTGTGTGTGCGCGCGCACGCGCATATATGTGTGGTGGTGGTCTTATTGGAGAACGGTTGTAGGTGAATAGGCCTGGCCTGCATATGGCCCAGCTCCATTCAGCACTGTAATCACTAAGGCTTGAATACAGATGTTATAATAACTTTTCTAATATTTTTAAGTTTATTTATTTTGAGAGAGAGAGAGAGAATGAGTGGAGGAGGGGCAGAGAGAGAGGGGGACAGAGGATCCGAAGCAGGCTCCATGCAGACAGCAGAGAGCAGGATGCGGGCCTCGAACTCACGAACTGTGAGATCATAACCTGAGCCAAAGCCGGATGCTTAACCAACTGAGCCACCCGGGCGCCCCTGTAATAACTTTTCTAAACGCGTCTCAGAAGTGGTCTGGGGATTGAGTAGCATTTGCTCCCTTTCCGCTGCTCTTGAGGCTGAGGACCTTCTCTGGTCTGTATCCCGGATTGTCTCCAATGTCCCCTGTCACCTTGGCTCTCAGATCGATGCAGGAGGTAGGTAGGTCTTTTAACCTCCATTTTACTCACTGGGGAAACCTCAAAGATTTAGGAACTCAGTCCCAGCGAGCACGGAGTGGAGACTCAAACCACTGGTCAGATGCCACCTCCTCTGAACACAGCCTCTGGCTTGTAGTTGTTTGTGGGACCCTAGTCTAAAGTGTCAGGGAAGGAGAGATCCTGAGCCAGCCTCCAGGAAGCAGGGTCTGGAGAACAGAGTGCTGTCTTCCCTGCACTGAGCACTCTGTGGGTAGGTTTACAAGCAAATGGTCATCTACACTGGGACAGGAGGTCCACCAAGGAGCCACCTCCAGGTCAGGCCTCAGTGCCTCAGGTGACAGCTTCCCTGGCTGCAGCATGGCCCAGCCCTCTCCTTGGAGTTTTCTGCTTTCACAGCCTGCCCAAGCCCAGACAGCCAGGAGGAGTGGGGCTGGCCGGGCAAGGCCAGAGTCAGGACAGGCTTGGACCTGAGCCCCGGTCACTAGACGAAGGGCCGACCCCTGGTGTCAGAAAGAAAGTGATTGTACATCTGACCGCGACAGGGACTGCTCTCTCGGGGTCTCTGACAGATAAGCGGGAATCCTCTCAGAAGAGTGGAGAAGCTGTGGCCGTTCAAGCTGCTACAGTCATTTGGGGATGTGAGGAGTTTGGGGAGTTGTCCCTGAGCTCTGCTGTTGGGAAGATGTGATGGCCCCCTCTGGGTGTCTCCCCACCTCATCCTGTCCAGTGGATGTTGCTTTCGCAAAGTGTGGGTGTGGGGTGGTTCTCGCACGTTCTTGCAAGAAGGCAGGCCACAGAGCAGGGGCTGCTTCTCCGCAGGCTTTTAAGTTGAGACTTCTGTGTCCGTGACTTGAATTCAGGGGAGGGGGTCCTGCATTGACCGGAGCAGAAGTGTTGTTCATGCTGGCCTCACAGCAGCCACCCAGCAGCATTTGGGGTATCTTGGTTCCCCAGCAGACAGGTGCTGTGAACACCTCCTGTGACCGGGCCCTGCCCTGGGTGTTCATTGCAGGGAAGACAGCAGTCCCCAAAACAGGTATGCGAGTCCTTTCAGGTAACACTAAGTCGGGTAAAGGAGGCAGAGATGGAGGGGACGTGGCTCTTATAGATGGGGTGGTCAGGGCAGGGCTGCCTCCTAGGAGACACTTGGGGAGAGGTCTGGTCGAAGTGAGGCAGTGGGTGTTGGGGGAGGAGGTCATGGTCAGCACAGAGGCCCAGGGCTCTACTAAGGCATCATTCCCGTCCCCTCCATCATTCTGTCCCCGTGCCTGCTTGTCATTATTCCGTCCACCGGACGGTTAGGTTCAGACTCACATCTGAGCTCAGAAGCACTCAACCCTAAGACGCTGGTGGCATTGCATTACCTGACAAGCGAGCGCCTGGGGTGCAGCCGTGGTCTTCTGATGTGCACTTTTGTGTCTCTTGCAAGTGGCTGCCATGGCACCCCCTGCCTGCCTCTGCTGTGCTGCCCATGCCCAGGCTGCTGGCTGGCCTCTGCTTCTGTCCCTGACTGGGCATGTTTGCCACATTGAATCTTTGTTCTGTAGAGGCCACAGTGGCTGGCCCGGCCAGGTCCTAGGGCCGGGTTTCCCCTCACCCATCTGCGTTGGGCAGCACCAGCTGCGGGATCTCCACTTCCTATCCCAGGCTGCCCGCAGGGAAGGTGGCAGAGCGGAACCCAGAGCTCTCCTGGGGAGGAGGTGGTTTTGAGCTAGACAGTGGGCAGGGGGCACTGGGTAGGGGTGCTGTGGAACAGCAAAGTAGGCTGAGGGTGTAGTAGGACTACAGACTGCAGCAGGAGGACAGGCCGTGTTCCACGATGTGTCAGGTCCTCAGGGAGCGGTGAGGGGGGAGAGTCCGGCAAGGGTGTGTGTGGAGCACCAGGCTGAGGAGTGAGGCCTTTCCCCCGTGGGTATGCCCACCCTGCTCCGTCCGAGGCAGAGGGGCTGTTTGAGCCCTGACCGAGGGCACGAGAGGAGGAGGCCACGGCCCGGGACCCTTGCTGCTCCAGAGGAGCAAGGGCCTTGGGGGTGCCTCGGTGGGAGAGCAGGTCCCGGGGCCAGCATTCCTGCCCGCCCACCCTAGCAATGGCGCTGAAAACACCTAGACAGGCCAGATGGGGGACAGGAGGCAGATAGCACCCCACTGGAGGCAAGGTGACCAGGAGCCAAGAGGGCACATCCGGGGGAGCACAGGGGGTGGACTGGGAGCTCGAGACCCCGTCCACATCTCCATAGCTTGGCCGCATCCTTCCGTGTCACTGCCTGTTCTCCTTGCTCCTAGCACAGGGAGACCCCATCCGGAACTGCTTAGGAGGCTTCCTGGGATGGCTTCCTGCCCTCTGCCCTCCTGAAGCAAGCGGCCTCGCCCCGCCGCCTTCCCCGCATGCTGTGAGCGCGGGCTGGGTGGTTGCTTGTACAGTTAGCTGTGGAACTTGGGGCCGGGGCTCCGATGAGCCGGGCGTTTCACTGGTTCCTGGCCTGGAGCTTAGCCCAGCGCGCCCGAGTAGGCCCTGGCAGCCTCGAGCGGCTGAGTCCTCAGGGAGATCGGTGGGTCCTGCTGGCCGTTGACAGTGCCACCTGGACTCAGCCAGGGTTTGTGGACGTCACATGCCGAATGACTCCTTCTAACGTTTCTCCCCTCTCTGCATGTCTGATCTCGCACCCCGTGTAGGCATGACGAGTATTCTGATGTCAGCCATTGGACTCCCTGTGTGTCTTAGCCGCGCACCCCAGTCCGCCAGCCCTCCCGCCTCCTGTCTGGCCTCTAAAAGTCACAGCTCAGTTAAGAGATTGAGGAAAATGTCCATGAAAGGTAGTTCCTGCTCACAAATGCTCTCTGGCCTCTGCTAAGCCTCCGAGTCTTGCTGCCTCTGACTCTCCTGCATTGACTGCTCTTCTTTGACTCCTACGGCCCTTCTCTGCTTCCTTTACCCCCCAGGGGAGGGGCTCAGTGGCCCTTCTCCCTGCTCTCAGCACAGAGGTGGCCCCCAGAATCTACTTAACACTCAAGACCCAGAGTTAAGCTCCTATCTTCCTGGCACAGTTGGAGCATGAGGGGCCTGTTCTTGAGGACTCTGTGACTCTATATGGGGTGAGGCCGGCTCAGGATGGGGGTGACTCTGTCCCTCCCACCGGGACCAGCATGTGTCTCAGGAAAGGCCCCCAGCCCTATCTGGCCTACTTCCGAGGGGTCTCCCACTGAGCACCGTGCTGCCCATCACACGGCTGGGGAGGAAGGGGTTTCAGAACCGTGGAAGGTGCAGTGAGTTTTAAGCAGACTTACATGAAGGAGCCTGTGGGTAGTAGGTTCTAAAGCTGCCATTTCTAAAGCTGGTAGCGGCTCTGCCTCCAGCTTTGGGCTGGAGACGCACAGACTGCTGAAAGCCCAGTGACCTTCAGGACGGTGGGGTGAGCAGGGAGCATGGCTCTGGCTCAGCCAGTCTTGGGTTCCAGTCGTGGCTTCTGTGCTCACTGCTTTAGGGTCTCACGCCCGTGTCTCCCTTCATGAGCCGGTACCTCCCACTTAGCAGATTGGTCGTGGGAGGAATAGGAAATCCACATGTGAGGTGCCTGGCACAGAGTGATGGGGGCTGCTCTGACCCTGGCCCACCATCTGTCTAACCCCGACCCCGCAGGTGGCACGGAGGCCCAGGGAGCGGTAGGGCTTCATACCCAGTCCCCCACCTCACCCGGGTCCCCGAAGTCAGGCAGGCCTCGGATGTCCTGACCCACTCCCCTTTTCCTCTGCCTTGGAGGTAGAGGCAGGTCTGCGGGCAGGGCAGGCCAGGAGTTTCCTGAGATACTTGGGCTTCCCCGGGAAGGACACACGTTCTTGGCAGACCCTCTGGCCTTCCTGGGCTCAGGTGTCCCTTTCTTGGGGTTGGTGGTCACCTGGCTGGCCCCCTTTGAGAAACACGGCTCATGGAAAGCTACCTTCGGTTCTGAAAGGCTGCCCGGGCAAAGGCGAGTGGTGGGCAAATGGGATGCAGAGCTGAGCCAGAGGTGGGCCCAAGGCTGGTCCTGGCAGATGGGGTCCTGGGATCCTTCTAGAGACTGACTTGTAGCCACCAGGCTTTTCTAAAACGCCTCTTCCCTAAGTCCGAGTAGAGTCGCAGCTACGAGGATGGCCACTGGTGCTGGTGGTCATTGTGCTTTGGCCTGACTTTCTTACCAGTGACCAGTCAGTGGCTTAGAAATCTGTGTATGTGTCTGTATGTGTACTGGGTGGGGGAGGGGTGTGTGTGTGTGTGTGTGTGTGTGTGTGTGTGTGACAGAGTGTGGGGTGCATGTGTGAGGGGGTGTGGGTGTATATTGTATGTGTGAGGGGATGGGGATATATTTGTATGAGGGGGTGGGAGATGCGTTTGTGTGTGTATGGGTGTGTGTGTGTGTGAGGGGGTATGGGATATGTTTGTGGGGGATGGGGTGTGTGTGTGTGGAGCAGGGGGAGAGGGATGGGGTATGTGTGTGAGGGGGTGTGGGATATGTTTGTGGGGGATGGTGGTATGTTTGTGTGTGTGAGGGGGGTGGGGAGTGTGTGTGTGTGTGTGTGTGTGTGTGTGTGTGTGTGTGTGGAAGAGAGGGTGATATTCCTTTGCCAGTCGCTGCCTTTTAGGTAGTAGCGGTTCATGCCTTCACAGCAATCACAGTTTCGGTCAGGGTTAGGTTTCTGTTTTTAGGTGAGGGAACTGAGATTCAGGTGACGTGATTTGGTCCCAGCACAAGAGCCAGAATCAAGCCTGACGTCGCCTGCTCCCAGCCTCTGCTCCCTTCATAGCTGACCCCTAGCCTTCTCTGGTTTTGAGGGCGCTTGGCTGTGGAGCTGTCAGGCTCGTATGTCCTTGCGGCCATAGGCTGGTGGCTATGAGTTTGAGTTCAAACCGGGTCCCTCGGGACTCAGAGGCTAGGACCAGGAGCTGCCTGGTGACCTGGAGGCAGGATGTGGAGCCCTGCCGGGGTTGCTTTCCCAGGCCACATTGGTCTCCCTGGTCCCTCCTTTCTGCCCCTGCACGGCTTTGCTGCCATTCTTTGTGATTCTGCTGCTGCCTCTGGCTGGAGAGCCCCCCCACCCCGCACCCCGCCCCGGGCCTGGCCGGTTCTCTCGCCCGCTGCGGGAGTTTCTTGTTTTGGGGGCGTGGGGGCCGGTGCTCGTGCAGGTGCAGCGTCATGCACATGTGCACAGAGGAGTGGGGTGGCCAGGGTGCCCCTCCTGCTGCTCCTCGGCTCCTTCCCAGAGTTGGGGTGTCACTGAGACCCCACAGTCCAGGGACAGGCGAGAGAAAACCGGGGTTTGTCGTGACCCTGTCAGCGTGGCCGTCATCCGCAGTCAGTGGGCATCTGTGTGCCGCGGGGGTGGGCACCCACTGCACGTTCGGCTCCTGAAACTTCTCCTGCCTTGGCTTTCGCACCAGAGTAATGACAGTTGAGTGAAACAGCGCTGCCGGGACACTCCCCACAGTAGTTTGTTTTAGAAGCTGCTGTTTGGCTTTTCTGTGTGTCCTCCTGAGGAGCCTGGGTCCGTCTAGCTTCCTGACTGAACGTGCACAGGGACGTGGTGGAGGCCCAGCACGCAGCTCCTGGGGGCTGTGACCGGCAGCCGTCTCTGGTCCTCGTCCTGGTGGGGCCAGAGGGGGCTCTGCCCGGCAGGGCTCTGGCCGAGTCGGCCCCCACCCTCCCCCGTCTCTTCTTGCACGCTCACCCTCCTGCCCTGGCCTCTCTGAATGTCCCTCCTGGCGGCTTATCCTCTTCCTCTCTGGATCCAGCGTCCCCAGTTCGTACTCCTTGGGACACTGCTTCTGTCCTTCTCTCTTCTAGGAGGGACTCCAAAGCCAGAGCCAGAACAGGTGATAAAAAACTATACCGAAGAGCTGAAGATAGCCCCAGATGAGGTATGTGTCACGGGAGCCATGTTGCCTTTGGTTTCGTTTGGAGACCAGGAGTAGCGCCAGAGAAGGATACCAGCCCTTCCTGTGCCGCAGGGGGTACTTCCCACAGTGCCTCTGGGTGCTGGCCGTGCTCCAGGTGCTTGGGTTTAATCTCCCAGCCTCCCATAGGAGGCTGGCCCTACCAGGAGGAGGCAGCCTGCACTTCAGAGGCCTGGATTCTGATCCTAGCTTTGCCGCCAGTGAGCAGAGCTCCTACACAGGCCTCTGGGTGCTCCTGTCCCTGTGCCGTCCTGGTGCCTGGGAGTCCTGGAGGCCAAGGATGGGAGAGCCTGCCGCACTCCCCACGGGCTGAGTGGCTTTGTCCCCATAGCAGTCCTGCCCCTCTGGCTACTGGGAAAGCCAGCCAGGCTTCCTGTAATTACAGGGCCTGCCAGACCCTCATAGCTGCTTGGGCAGGACCGGAGCCTCTGTGCTGAGCCTTGTTTCAGGGGCCGCAGCGCCACTTGTCTGTGATTTGAATGGGGCATCCTGGGGACTCTGGACGGTGGGTTAAACGGCAGTCATGCCCATGCGGAACCGAGGGCTCTGCCCTGCCTCTCCCCTGCAGCTCTGGCTGGTAAAGCTTTAGACAGTGACCTGGAGGCCGTCTTCGTGTCTCCCACTTGACAGCATACGTCTGTGTCCTTGTCTTTGCCCTTGTGCTCACCTGGCATCACTGGGCCGCTCTGTGCCAGCCTCCTGCCCTCCAAGCTGCCACCTGTACAGCCTGCACGCAGCTGTGGTCCTGGTGGTGCCCCCACTGTAGAGCACCTCAGCAGGGTCCCCTGACGTGTGAGACGAAGCCCAGCTCTGAGCTTAGCCATCAGAACCTTCCGGGACCTGGTCCTGTCCCACCGGTCTCTTACACCCTACTCACCCCTTGGCCCCTGCAATTACCACCGCCCTCCCCAAACTCTGTGCTGGTTCCTGCTTCAGAACATCCTCTTCCCTTTCTCTGGAATGCCCGTTCCTGTGCTTGTCTACCCGACAAGGTCCTTTCCCCTGTGACACCCAACTTGCGGGGCACCTCTAAGGAGCCTGCCCTCTTCTGTCCCCTCTCCCTGCCCGTGCCCTGTTACTGCCAAGGCCCCCGTGTCCCCCATGCTCACTGCTGCCTGTTGTCTTCTGTACTACGGTGAGCCCTCTGAGGGCGCAGAATCTGGGGACTCCTCTGTGTTCCCAGCTGTGTTCCCAGCTGTAGAATTGTCCGTAATCCTGGCGTTTCAGCAGACAAAGGCTTTTTCTTTCCCTTCTCCCCTTTTGGCACAGTGGGCCATTGGTGAGCGTGCCCTGTGTTGGTCTCCTTCTAGGACTGCATCATCTGTATGGAGAAACTGTCCGTGGTGTCCGGGTACAGCGATGTGACCGACAGCAAGACCATTGGGCCAGTGGCCGTGGGCCGCCTCGTCAAGTGCAGCCATGCCTTCCACCTGCTCTGCCTGCTGGCCATGTACTGCAATGGAAACAAGGTGCCCACACGTCTGACCCCAGGGTGGGGGTCGGGGCAACCTGCCCATAGTCCTGTCCCAATCCTGTCGCATCTGAGCTGGTGACTGCTGCTGCCGTGTGAGCCCCAGGGCACTCAGAGGCGACCTTAAGATGTCTGTAGGCCTTGGCCTCACAGCAGGATAGGGGTTGGCCGCCGGGGGTGCCGAGGGTGACAGGTGATACTTGGCTGCTTCCCTTCAGTGGAGTTCAGCCGGAATGGACAGGTTGGGAGGACAGAGAGAACTGAGTCACATGGCAGACCTTTGGGCCCGGCTTGGCCTCTCTGCAGATCGCTGTGCCACCCCTGTACCAGCCAGGGTGCCAGCACAGTCAGTTGAGAGGTCACGGGGTTTTTTGTTTGATTTTAAACATGTTAGACCGTGGAGACTTTTGCTCATAAACCTGATTTTCCTACTTGATGCTCGCCTCCTGGTACCTCACCCCTTGGATGGAAATGGCTTGAGGAGTTTCTGGTGTAGGACATCTTCACAGGGACGCTCTCAGGATTGGGTTTCTGTGCAAGGAGGGACCTGCTGTGTGACAGCGGGCCGAGCTGAGCCCCTGTGGGCTCTTCCCCACCTCGACAGCCAGACAGCGTGCCTGGGTGCTCTCTCGGCACCGGCTGAGACTAGGTGCTCTGCTCTGCCTCAGGACGGGAGTTTGCAGTGTCCTTCCTGCAAAACCATCTACGGAGAGAAAACCGGGACCCAGCCCCAGGGAAAGATGGAGGTGTTCAAGTTCCAGGTGTCCCTCCCTGGCCATGAGGACTGTGGGACGATACTTATAGTTTACAACATTCCTCACGGCATCCAGGTAAGGGGCCCCAGCACAGGAGGAGCCTCCTCAGACCGTTCTGGACTCGGTCCCTCTCGCTGTGGGGCACACTTCTTCCTACCCTGCCCCTCTCCCTGTAGTCTGCCTTCCCTCCCCCCCCCCACCCCAGGCACTCAGGATGCCTGGGCTTCCCAAGTTCAGGCTCCCAGGAACCGGGGGCACTGGTGTCTGGAGGTGGAACAAGCTCTTAGGGCTGTGGAAGCAAAGAGATGGCCTCCAGCCCTTTCCTGACGCAGGGAGGGCATCCTGGAGGCGGAGACATCCTGGCTGGACTTGTGCTGGGCGGGAGGCCAAGTGTATAAGCAGGAAGAACACTTGTGTTGAAGGTCTGGATAGTGGAAGAACCCAGAGGGCAGGGAGGTGCCAACACTGAGGACTGTCCTTGAGAGACCAGCTCGGTGGCCAGATCCAGGCCTGTGGCAGGGCTGTGTCTGATGTCAAGAGCGAGACAGGAGCCCGAGCAGAAGGTCGCAGTAGAGACCCAGACAGGAGCCCTGGACCCTTAGGCCTCCTGCTTGGGCCAAGACTGACCTCAGAGCTGGTGGCGGGTGGGGAAGATACAGGGCTGTGGAGGCCAGGACCCAGGTGGCCTGTCTGTGACAGATGGAGAGTCCCTCTTTCGTTTAACCATATGCTTTTCCCTGGTTTCCCTCCATTTCTTCTCAGTGGGTTGTAGTGAATTTTAAAAACATTCCAGACAGCCCCAGAACCACAGAGCAGGAGGGGAGTGTGGAGTATACGTGGCGTAGATGTGGCGTGTCTCTGAGTGGCAGAGGGCACGGGCAAGGATCCCTCACTGTTCCAGCCGCCCACCCTTCGGTCCAGTTTGCTGCCACTGTCTCCGGCCCCGCCGTGGCACCATCTCGAGCAAGGAGCGAGGGCATCAGGAAGGGAGGCCTGGCCTTCTAGGCCAAAGAGCCCAGTGCCCAGCGGAATGGGAGCCCCAGCCTTTGATGAATTCCAGTCTCATCAGGACATTTGCAGGAGTGTGTGATGCCAAGCCAAATGGCGTGGGGTCAGGGAAGGTGGTCGCCGGAGGCAGGCCACATCATGTTGGGTCTCTGAGGGGCAAGATTTGAGACAGCGATCTGTTTGGTCACTTGAGTGCAGACAAAGCTCTGGCTAGGGAGGTGAAGGGCGGGCCGGGCTGCGAGGGCCTCTGCAGCTGCTGGGCCCCTCTCAGGGTACCCCGCCTCCTTGTGTCTGTGTTCCTCCTGCAGGGCCCAGAGCACCCCAATCCCGGGAAACCATTCACCGCCAGGGGCTTTCCCCGTCAGTGCTACCTTCCGGACAATGCCCAGGGCCGCAAGGTAAGGCCCCACCACCCTGGGGGCACCCCCCGCCCTCTGCTGGCAGGCCTTGGCCTCGCTGCTCGTGGGCTGTTCGAGCAGGTGGGATGGGGAGGCCATACCTGCTCTGCCCTGTTCACCTTCTTCTGGGGCTGGCTGGGGTGCTGGCCACTCCTTCCCGGGACTGCCTGCTATCCGTGAGGCATCCTTGACCAGGAGAGACGACCAGCAGGGAGGGGAGGCCACTTCTAGCAACCTCTCTGGCCAGGTCACCTGCTCTTAAGTCAGGCTAGTGTGACGCGTTGGGCAGAGTGGGGACAGGGGAACAGGACTGGGTGACCGTGATGGCCTGCAAGCCACCTCTGCATTACAACGCAGGAGAGCATTCTGGTCAGACGAGCAGCTTGAGTGGCAGCTTTGAGAGTCGCAGAGGTGGGCTGGGCTGGAGGGTGTGAGGCGTCTGGGGAGGATCAGATCCCAGAGAAAGAGAGGGAGAGAAGAGAGAGAGAGAGAGAGAGAGAGAGAGAGTGAGTGAGTGTGTGTGTGTGTGTGTGTGTGTGTGTGTGTGTGTGTGTGTGGCAGTGAGGCATCAGGCGCCCTCTGGCTGCTGTGAGCTTGGCCTGGGGAGAGGATGACTTGGAAGTAGGGCAGGGTTAGCCTGGCCCCGGGTGTGGCTTGAGCGGCAGCAGAGCAGTGGATGGCGGCGCCCTCTGAGGTGGGGGGTCCTCCTGGGCGGTCAGGTCAGCATATGGAGTTCCGGGGGGTGGGGGCGGTGGTCAAGACTGGGGCTGGAGGCTGAGGATCCCGACAGATGGGGCCCCGGCCCGGAACTGTGGATGTGATCACTTGGGAGAGCGGCCCAACCTCAGCCTGCCAGTGGCTCGCAGTAAAGGCCAAAGGGACAGAGAGCCTCGTCCCTCAGTGTGCCCCACCCCGCAGCTGGCATTTGGTGGGTGGCTGCTCCTGCCGTACTGGCCCTCACTGCTGGGGAGATCAGACCAGGGAAGGAGGGGGAGCCGCAGATGCTCTCACCCTGTCACCTGGCCACCCACCGCTCCAGAGTGAAAAACCCGTGCCCAGGTTTACACTTGTTCACCAGGCCCTCCCTCCTTTCCCCTCCACCCTTTCCTCGAGGGCAGGTCCTGGAGCTGCTGAAAGTGGCCTGGAAGAGGCGACTGATCTTCACGGTAGGGACATCCAGCACCACGGGAGAGACCGACACAGTGGTGTGGAACGAGATCCACCACAAGACAGAGATGGACCGCAATGTGACAGGCCATGGCTACCCCGACCCCAACTACCTGCAGAATGTGCTGGCCGAGCTGGCCGCCCAGGGGGTGACCGAGGACTGCCTGGAGCAGCAGTGAGCCCCGGGCCTGGCCGGCCCCATCCCCGCCCTGCCGCGCCTGCCTCTGGCAGCCAGCTGCCCTCTCCCCCTGCTGCCGGCTGGGCTGCCCCGGGATGGGCAGGCGGGAAGGTGCCTTTCCTCAGAGGCTGCGAGGTTTGTGGGGGCCCGCCTTTTGCCCCCATCCTCCCCTCCAGGCCCAGATCTACAGGCGAATCAGGCAGGCCCAGGGAGTTGTACTTGTGGGGGCTTAAGATGCAGCTACCTCAGTGCGTGGGGCCCTCTGCCACTGGCGGGCTGCTTCGGGGCCGTAGTGCCGGGGGCCTGGCGTGGGGTGAGGCGAGACTGCCCCGTCCCCCATCGTAGCCAGGGCAGGCGTGGGTTCTGGGTCAGCTTCTCATACCTCAGATGTTCTGTTTGCAATAAATGCCCTATAGCCAAAGTCAGCAGGCCCTGGTGTGTTTTTGGTGGAGAGGTTGTGTGTGTGTGTGTTCTGATGTGAGAAGGCAGCACACACATACGTGCCCTGCTGCATCAGGGCAGGAGGGAGCTCACACGCTGCCCGTCCGACGCGCATTTTCCCCAGTGACGAAACTGAGGCCGCAGAGAGGGCCCAAGAGCCCGAGCACTGACCTTGCTGCTTCCCCATCCCCGACTCTAGTTCTCGCCGTGTGCGGTCCAGCAGCTCCGCCAGGCCCACCGTCCTGTTCACTCCCGCAGTAAAGCGCCACTCACATGTGGCTGGTGCTGCTGTCTTCCCTGTTACGGATGAGGAAACGGTCATGGATGCAGTGACCCGCCCCAGGTCGCAGGCTCATAGTAGGGCGTAGAGCCGGGGCTGGAATTGGGCCAGGATTGGTTTGACGTCATCCTTGAAGTCCTAATTCTTCCCAGCCCTCTTAGGAACATCAAATACCCCAGCTTGCTGTCTGCCTGGGGGCGGTGATTGGGGCCTGGGGCTGCAGGGCCCTGGCGGGGAGGGTGGCACATCCTGAGTGGGCCAGGGATACTTTTGCCTCCTTGAGGTCCTTTTCTCCATAAGAAAAAAAATTAAGTTCTATTTCATGATGTGTTGGTTTAAAGCTGAGTGTATTATATATTACAGCATTTTCTTCCATCTAAAAGTTTGAGTGTCTTGTGGCACTTGGCTCGCCCAGTTGGCAAAGCATGCAATGCTAGATCTCGGGGTCGCGAGTTCGAGCCCCACATCAGGTGTAGAGATTACTTACAAATAAAATATTAAAAAAAAAAAAAAAAAAAAAAAAAAAAAAAAAAGCAGTTACCCTGTGACTCAGCAATTCCACCCCAGGTGTGTATCCGAGAACGGAAAACAGGTCCACACAAAACTTGGGCATGAGCGCGCATGACAGCCTTACTTACAGAAGCCAAACAGCGGGAATGGGTGTCAGCGGAGGAGCCGGTGAATAAAATGCCTGGTTTCCATCCGGTGGGATGAAAGTTCCGCAGCCCTGAGAAAAACGAACTCCCGCCTCGTGCTATTGCGTGGACGAACCTGGACAACAGGATGCTAGGTGACAGAAACCAGACGCAAGATGCCACGTGTGTGATTCCGTTGCTGTGAAATGTCCGGCACAGGCAAGTCTGTAGAGGCAGAGAGCGGGTGCGAGGTTGCCAGGGGAGCCGGGAATGGGGAGTGACTTTCAATGGGTACAGACTGTCCTCTTGGGGTGTTGCAAATGTGCTGACCTGGGTGATGCTTGCACAACCTTGTGAAAACCCACTGAGCTGTATGCTTTAAAAGGATGAATTTTATACTGTGTGAATTCTATCTTCTTTTGAATTATGTCTTAATTAAAAAAAAATAGAGCCAAAGGGAGTAAAGTAAGTGGAGGCTTGTCAGCTGTCAGAGGTCCTTCGTCTGGCTCCAGATTCTTCCTTCAGACAAGAATGTGGCCTTGTGGAGGGAGGGCAGGGCGCAGAGATGGCAGCAGGACCAGGGGGGCTGTGGTGGGGCTGGAGCTGGACAGGTCGGGACCTCTGCCCTGTTCTCCACTCCCTGGGTGGGGATGGAAGGCCAGAGGGAGGCTCCTGGCACCCGGGGTGTGGGAATCTCAGGCATGTGGCCCTGAGCCCATGTTTCCAGAGACTGGGTCCTCTCCAGGGCTGGGAGGCTGGGTGGGACCCCTGTTCAGACATGGGAGTCTCTGGCCTCCTGGCTGGCATCTGGGGGGCCGGTGGCATCCGCCTCCCTCCCGGCAGTGGGGCCTGGCACTGGCCGGCCCCACCCTGCAGCCCTGCCTAGCTCCCTCCTCATGGTAGGCTGGGCCAGTGGGAGGGGTGGGGTGCATTTACATTTTCAGGTCTTTCCAGTCCTCGGCCGGCCTGGAAGCCTGACTAACCAGCTCCTCCAGGGTCAAGGTGTTGGGGGAGGGGGTGCAGCAGGAGGTGGCCACATCGCCCTGGGCTGTGGATGTGGAAGAAGCCCTGGCTTGGGCAGCCATCATGGGGCTCTCCCAGAGGCAGCCTGGCCCATTGCTGTCTCTCCTCCTCATGGGGGCGCTGGTCTGGCCCCCGCCCTGTATGAGCCTGGGTGAGTGGGGATCCTGGGATGAATTCACAGACCCTGGGAGCCCACCCCTCCAACTGGGAAAGGCAGCCCCAGGGAAGGCAGGCCCCAGGACGCTCATGCTTATCTGTGTGACTACAGAGCTGATCCCCTACACGCCGCAGATAACAGCCTGGGACCTGGAAGGGAAGGTCACAGCCACCACGTTCTCCCTGGAGCAGCCACGCTGTGTCCTGGATGGGCATGCCACTGTTGCCAACACCATCTGGCTGGTGGTGGCCTTCAGCAACGGTGCGTCATGGTGCGGGTCTGGGGCTGAGGAGAGCTGCAGGGAGGCAGACTGGGCGTGGGGCTTTATCCTGGGGGGCTCCGGGAGGGTAACAAAGTGACCTGATTTGTGTCTGGAGGGAGCCTCTGGGCCCGAAGGCATTGACAGCCAGGGTGGGAGGCCTCAGACCCAGCCTGGGGCTATGCCCTCTAGCCCCATCCGTCTGTCCCTTTCTCCTACAGCCTCCAGGGACTTCCGGAACCCACAGACGCTGGCTGAGATCCCAGCCTTCCCACGGCTGCTGACCGATGGCCACTATATGACGCTGCCCCTGTCCCTGGACCAGCTGCCCTGTGAGGACCCCGTGCGGGGCGGCAGGGGCATCCCCCTGCTTCGGGTGGGCAATGACCCTGGCTGCCTTGCTGACCTCCGTGAGCCACCCTTCTGCAACACCCCCCTCCCCAGCCCTGGACCTTACAGGTGAGTCATTCTGCCTGGACCCTGGGACAGGGCCTGTACTGGGGGAGAAGGGGTCTGGGGGAACAGGGCTGCCCTCCCTAGCCTCTCCCCAGGGCCCCATCCTGGCGGCAGGCTCCTCCCCTTCACAAGCCTTGGGGGGGGGAGGTCAGGGAGCAACGCTCATCCAAGCTGGGGGGCAGGCAGAATGTGGCCTTTCCAGGAGAACTGCCCACGAGGAAGTGGGCACCACAGGGCTTGTGGGGGCAGGGTGGGGTCTCAGGCCCAGGGTCAGGGGTGGGGAGCTGCCGGGCTGCAGCCACGAGCCCCGGGGTAGATCTGGTAGGAATCTGAGCCCAGGGCTGAGTCCAGACCCAATCAGTGGGTACAAGACAGGGGAACAGGAAATAAGCCTACTGCTCACTTTTACAGGTGAAGAAACCGAGGCACAGGGCACCAAGGGCTTGTCAGGGTCACGGGGGGAGCCAGAGTGAGAGAGCAGGTGTCCAGATGAGGACCGCCTGGGCCACAGGACAGGACCAGGTGTCCTCAGGGAGACTAAGTCCAGCTGAGAGAACCAGCATGGGGTGCAGGGAAGGTGGGGCTTGGTGTGGGCTGGACCGGCACCTCCGTTAACCGCCTCCCTCTGCCCTCTCCCCGGCCCGGCCCTGACAGAACCGCCTTCCTACCTCCCCCAATGCCCACTTCCTGGCTCAGCCTCATCTTAACCTCCTGCCCCTGTTCCTAGCAGCCACCAGAGCTGGCTGCCCTCCACGCCAGCCTGCCTGGGCCCCTCCATGCTCAGACATCTGCCAAGCCCCCCACCTGGCACAAAGATACAACCTGAGCTCCTCTGCATGGCCTCTGGTGCCCTCGGGTCTCAGCCTGCCTCTCCTTGTGATCCCAGGCTCTTGAACACCCCTCTCCTCCCTGGGCTTTTGCTTAGGGTACCTGACCCTACTGGGGAGACTTCTATGGTTTTCTAGATGTCACTTGGCCAGCTGTTCTCTACGAGGCCCGGGGCCCCCAGCCCCATCTGACTCCCTGAGGCACTCTGTATGGGACAGTGATGGGGGCCCCCTAAACCTGATGGGGAGTCTGGAGAGTAACGGCTCAGGTGGACTGGGGCTGCTGGCAGAGGTCACTGTGGCCAGAGAGGTCTTGGGGGGGGGTTCTCAGAGCAGGACCAGGCCATGGCTGGCCCTGACAGGCCCTACAAGAGCCCGGCCCAGAAGTGCCTGGGGCTTGGCTGCTTTGGTCACCGGGCCCAGGGCAGTTGAGGCTCTGAGCCCCACTCCTTCTCCTCTCCCCAGGGTGAAGTTCCTCCTGATGGACGCCAGCGGCTCACCCCAGGCCGAGACCAGGTGGTCCGACCCCATTACTCTCCACCAAGGTAGCGTAGGGGGGCGGGGCGTGCTCTGGCTCCAGTCTGCCCCTGTGGACTAGTCACCCTCTGCCCAGTGGTCCTGCTTAGCCGGCCCCTCCCCCTGCTGCCATGAGACTGGGGGCCTGGAGGAAGTCTCCAAGTCCAGCCCATCCCCCGAAAAGAACCTCATGCTGGGGGCGAGGAGGCACTGGGTCAGCCTCACTGGCAGAGACACCAGCTGTGTCCATCCACATCAACACAACCTCGGGTGCCCAGGTCCCAGCCCAGTTGTGGGCAGAAACAGTCTTCCCCTCCAATGGGGAGCCAGCCCTGGGCCAAGCACTGCCAGGTGGAGAAGGGCCAGGGCACCAAGAGGCTGGGGTCAGAGTCAGGGCCGCAGGTTCTGGGAGACTTCCCTCAGCGGGGCCCTAAAGGGCTGGTGATGGACCAGGCCGAGGAAACTGCATGTAGGAAGGCCAGTGCCCCGGGGTGAGGGACACCTGGGAGACTGGCTGTAGAGGCTGGGTGTTGGCTGGGGGTGGAGGGTCTTGTCATCTGAAGGCCTTGAATGCCACGCTCCAGGAAACGAGGCGGCCACCCGGTTGGTCCTGAGGTCGGCCGCAGTTCTGCCCACTGTGGGCAGTGCAGTGGGGTGGGCGTGTTGGCAAGAACAGCCTAGAAAGTGAGACTAAGAAAAAAGGCTGGAGCAGTGGTGGGTGGTCTGGGCCTGGGAAGGCACTGATGCCCCGCTGGTTTGGACAAATGGGGTGGGCTCAAGGGGCTGTCTTGGGACTCGAGGCAGTCAGGCCTTGAGCGTGAGTCTGGAGGGGGAAGTGACCGCCCTGGGCTGGAGGGGCAGCCTCTGAGCGTACGCTGTGTGCAGGGAAGGCCCCAGGCTCTATCGACACGTGGCCAGGGCGGCGAAGCGGTGACATGATTGTCATCGCCTCCATCCTCTCCTCTCTGGCCGGCCTCCTGCTCCTGGCCTTCCTGGCTGCGTCCACCGTGCGCTTGTGAGTGCTGACATCCCCCTGGGCCCCTCTTCCACCCAGAGCCCCTTCCCTCTCACTGGTCCCAGCACCTGAAAGCCCTCCAGGAACACTGCGGCTGAGTTGGCGGTTCCCCTTCCAGGGGTGTGCGGGAAATTTCCGCCCTGAGTATCTCTCGCCTGGACAGCAGGGAGGTGGGCCAGAGGCTCCTCTGAAGACAGGTTCAGAGAAGGGCCACCTCGCTCTGCCCTGTCCTTCAGCGTGTCCTTGGCCCTGGCCTTACTCCTCCCGGCCGTGTTTTCTCTCCAAGGAGGCTTCAGTGAACTGAAACCAGGGTATTCAGGGCAACCACCTGGAGGAGGTGGGCCAGAAGCAGGTTCTGGAAGGAAGGAAAGGGAGAGGCTGCGGGAGGAGGCCCTGACTTGGCAGATGGCTCCCCACAGCAGGGACCCAGTCTGGTCTCCTCTCCCCATCCAGCTCCAGCCTGTGGTGGCCGGAGGATGTCCCGGAGCAGCTGCGGATTGGCTCCTTCAAGGGGAAGCGCTACATGACCCACCACATCCCACCCACTGAGGCCGCCACCCTGCCCGTGGGCTATGAGCCTGGCCTGGACCCCCTCCCCAGCCTCAGCCCCTAGCCTGGTGGAAGGGGCTGGGGCGGGGCCCTGGGAAGTTGGGGGCCACCTACGCAGTGCGCATTCCCAGCTCCTGCGCCCACATGCCCCTCCCCCATTGCACCTCCCCACCCGCCCGATGTCCCACCACCTGCAGCCCTGCCTTTGCCTTTTCCATTCTGCCCTCCAGGCAACTGAAGTTGCATCACGTCTGGGGGGAGGGTCATGGTCAGGCCAGCATGCAGGCCCCACTTCCAACCCTACCTCTGTGAGAGGTAGTGTGGAGAGGCCACACTGACCAGAAGCTTCCAGGCTCCAGGAGGGGCCCAGTGGGGGGCCTTGCTCTGCCCTGTGCAGGGGACTGGGCCAGGCCCATCACTGGGTGCATGAAGTCCGAGCCTCCCTCTGTCTCTCTGTCCCACCTTCCAGTGGCTGGGGCTGCAGTGAAGCCTTCAGAGGCACCTCCATTGTTCCCCGGGCAGGGGTACTTTCTGAGGGTGGCCAGAAGTTCAGAGTGTAGAGGCACATTGTGGCCGTCTGAGCACTGATTCCACCACTTCCAACCCTATTGCACACACAGATGGCTTACTCATTCTCGCTCCACCAACATTTATTAAGCACCTGCTGTATGCCACTGCCAGTGTTAGACATGGAGCCTCAGGAGGAACCAGTCCTGAACTTGGGGAGCTCACTCACCACTCTGGACCTGAGATGACCACGTGTCCAGATGTGACCTGTTACTGTTAGGGCTGTCAGATTGTCACATACCCTCGGGTTCAAGCTCCTTAGATGCTCACCCCAATGGGCTCTCTGAGGCCCCGGAGCCCCCCACCATCAGGCAGTACACTCTTTAGACTTCCCCCTAGCGTCCGACTTCTCGCAGGGCCGGTGGGTCCAGCTTTGGCCACACGGTGGCGCCGGTGCGCCGCAGCCGTCCGGCCCCGCGCACGCGCACTCGTATTCACAGACCCGCCTGAGGCAATTGACTGGCAGTTTCCAGCGGTGACCTGATGCTGAGGAGCCGTCGCCACTTTCTGGAGGTCAGGGCTCCAGACCTCATCTGGGTCAAGCCAGAGGGATGAGCAGTCACGCACTCGCTTGAGGGCCGTCCAGTCCACACAACCGCCACCATTTTCTAGATGGAGAAACTGAGGCTGGGCGACTTGTCCTCCACGCTCTGCCCACTGCCGCCCCTCCCACCACCACCACGCCCCTCTTGTCCCCGGGCATCTCCCATCTTATCCGGTGGGACCGCGGCT